TACATTGCAATTAAAGGAGGGGATGTAGGTGGGTTACACGAAATCCACTGGCGATAGATTAGAGAGGCCGGAGAAAGCAAATCCGGGAAACCTCTGGGATAAGATAAAAAGTGAAATGATAGACACTTACTTAGGTGGGTGCAGGATGGTTAACAGTTTACAATTAACGTGATAACATTAACAATGAAGGAATTTATGAACTCTTGTCCTGGTGCCCAGGGCGTTTGGTCTTGCCCCAGGGATCCAGGAAAAGGGGACATTACGTTTCATTGGTATGTTATCTTAGATGCAAAAAGACATTAGGCTCAGTTCATGTTAAAATAGACCTTGTCAGGAAAATACCAGCCTAGGACTACCCACCATAACTGCTCTTGTGGTTACTTTATTTTTTTTTTAAGTTTGCCTTCCCTGATCTTGTCAGCTTGTCAGCTTAGCATGTAGCATCCTCCCACCTCCTCCCCAGAATTGCAGCTTTAAAAAAAAATAAAAAAAATTACTCCGTAGGCTTAAAGAAAAAAGCGTAATGAGCACAATTGGCAAGATTAGAAGTCCTGCTCTTTGTAGTTAAATTCACCCGGTAACTCAAACTGAGGTTAGCTGGGTGGACAGATTTCCAGGTGGGAGTTTCCTCCAGGTTTTGGAAATAAACGTATCGTAAAACAAGAGATAAGGTAAGGTATTAATAATTTCAAACTGAAATAAGTTTGAATGGGAGAAAAATGATTCAAAATAATAAAAAATTCAGTATCAAAGTTAAGACTGGAATTCTTTTTCAAGAAAGAACTGGCTGACAGTGGAAGACAAGTGTGACACTGAAATAAAAAATTTGGAAGAGAGCTGAGGGATACTGTTTGCCAAGCAAAAAAACCATTTCACATGTCCAGGCTCAGTGATGGGGTGCAGAGGGAGGGGACGGCAGAGGGGCTGAGCTGGAAAAAAAGCTTTGTCTGTTTTTGAAGAATTAGATAATGTAGATAATCCGGTATCTGCATGGAGCTCTTAATAAATGGGCAGTATTTTAGTCTTATTTCCTATCTATCCCCCATCCTGCGTTTCACTCTCCACTTTCAGGATACAATTTGTTAGAGCATGACAAAGTCTGAACAATTCTATGTCCACGTGGTTTTAAGGTCTCAATCTCAGTAAAAGGGCATGACTTCAGCACCAATAGTTTTCTGTTAAGAGAAAGGTAAGGATTAGTGTTGAAAAAGACTCATTAATGTCACTTTTACCATAACATGTTTACTAATGACTAATAAAGCTCTCACTTGTTGAGTATAATGCTTTAGGATCATTACAGGTCATGGTTCCTGAGGGGGTTTCTGCAGTCTTTTCGACCTCGACAAGAGTGAGGCATGCGCTCTGTGGAACTGGGCGGAAGCTCACTAGAAATTTTGCTCCCACTCCACATTCGAGCTGAGGCCACGCCTGTGTATTTGAGCAAGCCAGCAAAATGGCTCCATGCTTTTATTTTTTTATTGATTTTTTACAGAGAGGAAGGGAGAGAGATAGTTAGAAACGTCGATGAGAGAGAAACATCGACCAGCCGCCTCCTGCACATCCCCTACTGGGAATGTGCCCGCAGCCAACGTACATGCCCTTGACCAGAATCGAACCCGGGACCTTTCAGTCCGCAGACCGACGCTCTACTACTGTGGCTCCATGCTTTTAAAGGTTGAAGAGAGAAAAGCTTTCACTCTAAGGGAATACTATTATTTTTAATTTCAGAAATGACAACAAACTTTTAGACCCTTATAAATGGGTTGGTTTTGAGCTGAATCCATGAAATCTCAGTAAAGCTTGCCTTCAAGGTGTGCTGTGGCTGTTAATTAACTTCTCTAAATTTCACCTTACTCATCTGTAAAGTGGGCATAGTATCTATTCTTATGGGAGAACTTATACTTATCTATTGCATAAAATGCTCGGCTCCTAATATAGTAAACGCCCAAATGACAGTTTTGATGAAGGCAGTCATGCTGGGGACCTGCAGTAGGACTCTGTGGCAGGGATGATATAGCTCCAATAGCCTAAAAACAGGTAGCATGAAAGTTTTGCTTTAGGCTCAAAAACTCAGTTAATATAGCACATCTATCTTGCCGAAGATCAGTATATGTAACACAAGATTTTAGTTGACCTCCATTTTTATCCCAAAGACCACCTCTCACTCACCTTTGCATTTCAAATTAGGTAGTACTCAAGAAATGTGTGCTGAATGAAGGAATGACTTCACTTGTTCTCTTGGCTTGTGGAAAAGCTAGTGCAGTAATATACCTACAGCTGCAGATCTGTAGTAACATTTCCTTGAATTGGCTTCAGGAAGGCAGTAGTCCACTGTGTCCCTCTCAGAGCACATCTGAAAGGTTTTGTTGACTTAGATATATACTTCAGTGAACAGTGTTTTTTAAGTGGTTTGTCCACTTTTGAGAAGTATGTCTTGAGGGCATGCTAAGTCTGGAGACAAGAAAGCTCTGGAGGTCACAGAAAGCTGTCTTCACAAATTTAAAGGGTGGCTTCTCTTTTAAGGCAGAATTGAGACAGCAAAGGGGACAGTGAATTTTCCACCAGTGTAGGACAGGACTCCCAGTTGGAGACTACCTGGAGGTGAGGAGCAGTAGGTGTCCCTCAGAACACTGGATCCCTGCCTGCCTCTGCCACTTGAACCTGAGGTGGTGTACTTGTTAGGGATGACAGGCTGTGCCTCTCAGGGCTTTCAGACTGGAATTGGACAGGAGTTAGCACTTTGACAGCGCTAGCTGCTACATCACCTTAGGTGTTGCTTTAAACGTATTCAGAATTGAGGGTTAGCATAGGTAAGTCCAAAAGTCTCTTCCAGACGTGAAATTCCCTAATTCTAGAATCCGGATGGGAGAAATGTGGGTGGTTTCAAGGTAATTTCTTGACAGATTACAGCTATTCCTTTATACTTCCAAGTTTTCTTTTTTCTTGTCAGAAAGATATTACAGGAAACTAGAGGTCCTGTCCACAAAATTTGTGCAAAGGACCTGCAGGCCTGGCCCCTCCCATCTGCCCTCCCTTGAAGGCTTGGTCCCTCCCAACTGTCTTCCCCTGCTGGCCATCTTGTGGTGGCTATCTTGTGTCCACCTGGGGGCAGCCATCTTGTATGTTGGAGTGGTGGTCAGTCTGCATATTACTCTTTTATTAGATAGGATTAGAGGCTTGGTGCATGGGTGGGGGCCAGCTGGTTTGCCCTGAAGGGTGTCCCGGATCAGGATGGGGGTTCCCTTGGGGCGTGGTGGCCTGGGCGAGGGGCCTGTGGTGGTTTGCAGGCCAGCCACACCCCCCAGCGACCCAAGTGGAGGTCCTGGTATCTGGGATTTATTTATCTTCTACAATTAAAACTTTATAGCCTGGAGCGGAGCCAAGTCTCCTGCTTGATCTGTGGGGGCTGCCATTTCTGTTGGGATTTATTTATCTTCTATAATTGAAACTTTGTAGCCTTGAGTGGAGGCCTGGGCCCACCAGGATGTGTGGAAAGCTTGGCTTCTTCCATCACCAGGGAAACCCAAGCCTCCCTCCTGCTCATTCCGTGGCTGCAGCCATCTTGGTTGGGGTTAATTTGCATACTTGCTCCTGATTGGCTGGTGCATGTGGCTTTTGTAGCGGAGCAATGGTTAATTTGCATATTACTCTTTTATTAGATAGTATTTATTAGATAGGATGATTACTAGTAGTCATGATATCAAATGATTCTTTGCTTTATGAAAGGTTTTTTTGTTGCATCTTCCTTTAAATAGGAATCTCGTCAATCAGAAATTTAAGTATCTCTAAAATTGTGTAAATTAGTGGAAAATAGCAAGAAACATCTATTTTTTTTTTAAACCTCGTTTGGATACATGTATATCTGTTTCTATCAGTATGACAGCTCAATTGTTCTGAATGAAGACTTCAAGGCACTCACATGTAATTTATAGGTCTACCTTCATCTTGGTATTTAAGAACCTCCTGAGTTGAAATTAATTCCACCTTCTTGCCTGCCTGCTTGCCTTGACTTCTTGGTACTTTTGAGTTGTGGCCCTTCAGGACCCTCTTTGACAGAGATTGGAATGATGTGTGTTAGTTAGCTACTTAAATTGGTAAAAATTAGTGTGGCTTGACTGTACTGTTAGTCCCTGCCACTGTGCAAAGTGAGGACACATTTCTGACACACACTAGTTTCAGTTAACATGTACCATGCAACATAAAGGCTGCATGTACTTTATCAGTTCCTGTAGGAGAGAAGAAAACATCACACAGTTAAATACTTTTCAATCTGGGAGTGCTTTCATTTTCCTAAGCCATCATCCTATAATTTGTGCTTTTAATTCTGAATGTAGGAATCTGATCCTAATGGCCTGCAAAGTATTTTAGTGAGATTCTTTTCTTTCTACACAAAGATTAGGCAGGCTCTCACACTCCTTTCGAGCACGTTTTACAGCTGGGTGCCTGAGGTAGGGGGCCATTCTCTCCTTCAGTCAATCCAGCTGTAAAGTTGGATGCATTGAAAAAAGGCAGATGCTGGGTTTGTGCTAAGATTTCCCAGATAAATTGCCAAATAAGTGTAATCAAAAATGTTTATTCTAGTTTCATTTAGTTGAAAGCAACTGAAGAAAAATACAAATATACATCCTTTCCATTTTGAATTTTTGAAAAAAAGAAACCTCATGCAGCAGAATTCCATCTCTGTGCAATATGTGTGAACTATACTTTGTAAAAATGGATTAAGCATCCAGTACTCTTCCTCCTCACCACCCCAGTCGTCAGGCAAGGTCTTATTCTACATGCACTTTACCTTATTTTTCCTGACCTGCTTCCACTACACAGATAGTATGTAAAAGAATCATATTGGTCAGAAGTGGTTGATGATTACAGATGCCACTTTCATATTTGGGATTTACATAATAATTGAGTATGCATTTATTTTAGCGTCGTTAAAGTCTGTTTTATTTCTTGATTTTGTTCTTTGGATATGTAATACTTCCTCTTTTCTTTGCAGTCAGAAAATGGGTAAGAAGAGTCGAGTAAAAACACAAAAATCAGGCACTGGTGCTACAGCAAGTGTGTCACCAAAGGAAACCTTGAACCTGACTAGTGAACTGCTGCAGAGTAAGTTGTGCTCTTGGCCTTCCCGCCTTTCTGTGGGGCATGTGGTTTGTACTCATGCATCCCAGTGCTGCGTGGGAATATCAGCTGTCCCTGAAGCATGAAGATAGCCATGGGACCTGGGCAGGTTACAGTACCTCCTACCTCGCAGCCTCCCCACCTGTAAAATGGAGCTGCTGCTACTTGTGGGGACCGGGTAACGATAACGAAGCCTAAATGACATACTGAATGTGAAGCCTCTATGGTGCAGGCTCCCAGAACATCTCAACTGGTTTTCAATCTTGTGGCCTCAGACCAGTTTAACCCTCTGACTCCCAGTGTGCTCTCAGTAAGTACAGACCACCTGCGAGTGTAATGAGGACCATGTGAGCTAGGGCACGTGAGGGTGGGTTTTGGGCTGTCAAGCCCAGGGCGAGCAGCATGTCTCTCAGAGAGCAAGCTTTTGGCCTGGCTTTCTTATGAGGATGGCTCACCTTTTTCAATGATTGTTTTCACTTGCTGACGACAAGCATTCTTGGTTCAGGGAAGTTAAATATCTTGCTTTACTAAGTGTAAACTAGTAACTTGTTTTTTAATTGTAAATTTAAATTGGTGGTATGTATATTTTAAATTTAGCTGTGGTCACTATATTAACTAATTACATTTGTATTATTTTCTTTGCCCCTTGTGTTTAGATTAGAGACCCTCACAGATGTCCAGAAGGTTGTTAGGCTGTCCGGTCTAATTAGCATATTATGCTTTTATTATAGATTATGTGACAGGCTAAACCCCAAATAAAAATTTAATTTTCTCTCATTGACAAACAGGCAGCAACCAAGTTGGTTGCTCCTATGAGTGCTCCTATGAACGCCTAAATCCCCCTCCCACCCAAGGTCAAGGTAGGCCTTCCACAGAGCAGTGTTATACTAAATGGTTACCACCTGTCTCCCCCACTGGCCTGAAGGCAGCTTGAGGACAGGCTCCGTCTTGTAATCCAGGGCCTCAGCCAGTATTTGTGGATGGAAGAATGTATAAGGCTGGCCAAACCTAATAGTTATGAGTCAGCATATAGCTATTGTTAATTACTTACCACGTGTACTCCTTTCCTTGGAGAACAAAGGGGGCCAAGCGGGTTAGCAGGAAGTGAGAAGGGCTTTCCCTTTAAACTGATACAGTTTAAAAGCGGAGGGGCTGCTGGCAGGTTGGGTGGGTGCCCTGTGCACAGCCTTCCGCAATGCCTGCCAGGTCTCGGGTGTCGGTCCTTCAGTTCTGGTCCTGCGGTAGAATCTCGGCTTCCTTTTAGCAATGACTATGCCGTCTCTTTTTGTGACTCCCCCAGAGTGCTTAATATAGCGCCTTACACATGATGTGAAATGTTTGTTGACTTATTGTCCTTATGTCCAATTTCCCTTAGGGATCCATTGTTATGGAGTTGAACTAGGAAGAAATGTTAACTTTCAGTATTACCTTCTTTTAACATCTGGAAGAGTTTTTAGGGCAACGTTTTGCATCTTAGCATAGCTTTTTAGATTTTCCTGTTCACAAGTGTGCTCTGAGGAAAAGTATCAGCAGCAAGAATGAGGTAGATGCCAGCCAGGTGCAGACACTTAGGTACTAGAGTCACGGCTGAATAGGCGGCATTTAAATTGTGTCAGAGGGTTTACAGGCTTTGAAAAGTATACCTGATTTATGCTTCTCAGGTTTATCATCATGCTGTAGTATCTTTGTCTTTTAAAAATAAATAAATCAGCAGCAACAACCCAAATCCTCCTCCTCCTGAAGACTACAGGTTGCGTGGAAGGGGATGTCTGAGACTGTGGCTTTTGTGTTGCAGAATGCAGTAGCCCTGCTCCAGGCCCAGGGAAGGAGTGGGAAGAATATGTGCAGATCCGGTCTCTAGTGGAAAAAATACGGAAAAAGCAAAAAGGTACGGTTTCTGGAATGATATCACTTTAAGAAAATTGTGTAGAGACGTGGCATAGGTCAGAAAGGTGTTGAGAGTAGTTACGGTCTGGCTTACTCATCCTCCCTGCTAGGTCTTTGTGGAGGAGGGGCTGCTAGACAGAAACATGGGACTCTCTGGAGCCTCTCATTCTGAGATGTCATCACCTGCTTTGGGATGGGAAAACCGTTCAGTTTGGGGGGAGGAGGCGGGGAGATGGGAATGTTTGTTTCTAGGGGCTAAAATGACACAACTTTCATTTACCTTTACTCTGAGATACGTATTTAAATCTGCTTTCCCATACTGCTTCCTGCAGGGGTTGGGGTCAGTCTATAATGCTGTGCGTGGCCAACACACAGAATATATTGATGGGTTAATGTTTATCAAGGTTTACGATGAACTCAATCATGTTTTGATTAAAAAAGAGATGTAGCTCTGTTTCCCAAGCTGTGTTTTACAGGGTATATTTAGGAGACATCAGAATGACTCTCAGCCAGGCTGGTAGTGGGGCCAAGTATCAGATGAAGAAGCCTATTCAATATTCCTTTTGTTTTTGTTCTGTAAAGCACAAAAAGTTAAGATTGGTATTCAGGGCCACAGGGGAGGTGGAAGGAGAAGGCATAATAAGTAGCCTGCCTTTAAAAGGATGAGAAAAACCTTCTTGGACTCCCTGTTTATTTATTGTCATGAAAGGGAGTCAGAAGAGAGTTTATTTGCTCTCTGAAGCAGGAGCTTTATTGTTCCCCCTCACACCTACAACATGCAGCCTTTGGGTTAGATGGTCTCAAACCCCACATGGTGACAGGCCCCTTTATAAGGTGTTTATCTTTACCAAGTGTACTGTGCTAATCCTGGCTCATCAGACACAGGGCTGGAATGTTTTGCATATCCTGTGTGCCTTCTGTGTAGAGACTGTGTACTACAACTGACACCGAAGTCAGACACTCATTTGTTCTCTAAGTGTTAGATTTTCCCTAACAAAAGCAGTTTTCTTCAGTTAGTAAGGACATGTGTATATAGCCTGGCAATACACCGCTAGGCGATACTGCACCACACATCTAGTTGACCTTCAGTTACATGGTGGTGACACGGCCATGGCACCACAGGGCTGATTTCCACGCCTTGCTCCTTGTGTTTAATAAAGTTCCTGTTCCTCTCCCTTTATTCATTAAAAAAAAATTAATAATGGTTTTTCCTTTGCATGGCTTTTCCTCTTTAAATCACTCCACAGAATTCTGTTGCAGAGATCTCCATTTTGTGCTCTTAGGTTAGGGGCTCATCCTTAACACATGTCTTCTTTTTTTTTTTTAATTTGTTTTTTCTTATTATTACTTTTTAATTTTCAACTGAGGATATGTTTACAGATTTTTAGAGAGAGATGAGAATGAGAGAGAGGAAACATCGATCCATTGCTTCCTGTACCATGCCCTGACCCCACAAACTGAAGGTAAATCCAACCTTCAACCTTTTAATGTGCAGGACAACGCTCCAATCAACTGAGCCACTGGATCAGGGCACACACATTGTCTTGTGTGCATGTGAGAACTACTGAGCTTTGTTTTCATGGGTATTTTGTTAAAGCAAATGTGCATAGTAGGGATGGCACACTGACTTACAGGGGAAGCTGCTCTATGCATCTGCAGTAGTGGTGAGGGCTTTCCCATCATCACCTCGCAGTCAGTATTCACATGGCCTGGGACTGTGAATACTCCCTGTAATCCCCGGGGAGGTTAGGATTTTAATTCACCTTCCCTGTCACTATGTACTGTGACTATCTGGTGATTAGCTCTTGATTTTTTTTTTTTTTTTTTTTTTTTTTTTTTTAAGATTGAAGTGCTTTACTATTTCCTGTGTTAGGTACGGTCTGTTTTTTATGAGAGTAGCATGAATGATATATGTCCTAAAAGTAGCTCTTGTTTTGTAAAACATGGATTGATACAGGTCTGTCTGTTACTTTTGATGGAAAAAGAGAAGATTACTTTCCTAATCTAATGAAATGGGCCTCTGAAAATGGAGCTTCGGTTGAGGGTTTTGAAATGGTTAATTTCAAAGAAGAGGGCTTTGGTTTGAGAGCAACAAGAGATATCAAGGTGAGTTTATAAACTGTTGGTCTGGGGGGGAGTCGAAGTGTGTCTGGATTGTGTCGTGTAGAGGACCCTGGACGTGGAGACATACCTTAGGCTTGTTCTGAGTCTTGTGGGCGGGGGAGGGTGAAAGGGTGCAGCCAGCACTGCCCCTCCTGCCACAACAGTCCTCTAACTGACCCCCTGTTCCAGGAAGCCCCTTGCCACCCATCCTCCTTGGGAGCTGTGCTAATAACCAGTGACCGGGGGCAAGTCAGCTCCCATTTCTGGGCGTCTGTTAGGAGTCCATAGAACATGCCTCAAGGGATTCTGAGATATAAATATAGAGAAGGATGTGGATTCAGGTGGTCTGCTAACAGAGCACACTGGGCTCTGTGGTTGATTGGATGTAGATGGAGGCGGAGTTGGGGGTTGGGCAGTGTAGGGGATGCTTACCAGTTTTCTGGAATGGGTAACAGTGTGGTTGGAGGCTCCACTCACTGGACTGGCAAACCACAGCTGATAGGAAAAGAGAAATATATGCCTGCTGAAGGACAAATGCTTTTCTTTACTCTTGGTCCTTCTAGATGGAGGGAGTAGCCTCTCCCTGTCTTTCAACAGGAAAATTTTGATGATTTTGGGAGAAGGAACTAGGGTTGGCCTTTCTCTCAGTGAGAGCTACTGTCCACATGCATTCACTGCTGTGCTCTCTCCACCCTAAGTTTTCCAGGGACCGACCACTCATGGGGAGGCCTCTGGAGTTCCAGTTCTGCCTGTAATAGGTGGGAGGTCTGTCTAATTCTGGGATTCAGTAAGTGGTATTTTGGGTGACAGTCTGTTGGAGTCTTGTGTCTCTCTCATTTGGTTCAGAACTTGGGGAGAGGAAGTGGTTGTTATTAGGTCACCTCAAATTTCCAGCAACATTTTTGGCCAGCTTGTAGTTAACCTTTCAATGATACATTGATAAACTGGTTTATTAGATGTGTATTAAATAATCTAGTATGCCAACGTACCTTCCTTATTATACAGGCTTCCAAAACACACGGGTTCCTTTCTTCACGCTGCTTATAGTCTTTAGTAAGGGACAAGGCACACATAATTCAAATAGATAAAGAGACGTTGGTAAACAGCAAGAGTAAACGAGATGTCACACATGCTTCTCATGCATCAGACGAAGAGCATTGTTAGAGTGGATGCTGCCCTGAATACCTTAGCTGTGGTTGGTTGTCACTAGGGCGTGTTTTTTTTAAAGCTTTATTGAAACTGATATATAAAAAGACTGCACATGTTTAATATGTACATCTGCATGATATCATCACCATGGTCAAGGTACTGTATAAATATACATACAGAACATGCTGAAAAAGGCATTTCATTGCTAAAACATGTGTCTTGTGGGCTTGTGTTTTTGCTAGTAACTGTCATGTTTTAAAGACAGGCACATAGAAGAGGGACTGTTGCTCCAGCTTGAAACATCGTAAGGTATCCTGCTTCACATGGGTAGAGTCGGGTTTTTGCTGGATGTAGAAATTTTATTTTTAGCATTTAAAAATATAAATACAGCAAAGAATAAACAATCACCTTTGTGCTTTACCCCAAGTTGTTACATTTGCTTCAAATTAGAGTTGAAAGTCTCTTGTGGTTATTTGTCTTCTCAGTATACATAGTTTTTCTACCGGAGACAGGATTTTAAAGCAGCTTCCATTTATTTAACAACACCATAAAAGCTTACAGTTGATAAACTTTTGGGAACTAAAATGTGGTGCTGATATGCACCCTGAAGTTGTCCATGTGTGATGGTTTTTGCCCATAGACACAATTGGAATAAAGACTAGAGTGTGTTGTGTTTTCATGATTCTGTTTTCTTATTTTTTTCCTTCTAGGCAGAAGAATTATTTTTATGGGTTCCACGGAAATTACTAATGACCGTTGAATCTGCTAAAAATTCTATTTTGGGTGAGAATAATTTCTGAATGTTCAAAGCAAAGTGAAAATGATAGAAATATATAAAATTTCATTTTGTGGAGCTAAGGATATTTGGTTGTTTTCTCAATTAGTGAACTGTGCCCCAAAATTCACATTAGGTGTTTCCCATGCTTCCATAACTTTCATCATATAAATGAATACTTTTAAAAGGAATTGTGGAACTTATGCTATTAACTTCTGGGTTACTCCAGGACCCTTATATTCTCAAGACCGAATTCTTCAAGCCATGGGAAATATTGCACTGGCCTTTCACCTGCTTTGTGAGCGCGCCGACCCCAACTCCTTCTGGCAGCCCTACATTCAGACCCTGCCCAGTGAGTACGACACCCCTCTCTACTTCGAGGAAGACGAAGTCCGGTCTCTGCAGTCCACACAGGCTGTCCACGATGTCTTCAGCCAGTTTAAGAACACCGCTCGGCAGTACGCCTACTTCTACAAGGTCATCCAGGTGAGCTGTTGGCCACTCGTCACCTGTCTGTGCGACAGGGTGGGGGAGAAAGGGAAACTGGTCCCACAGATGTTCCGCCGTGTTCCTCAGTAAGAATGCATCGACAGTTTGCTTTTTCACATTGTCAGGTTTTCTCGTCCATTGTTTCCGTTTTTACAGAATTGTCAATGAAAGATGGTTGGACTGTTTGACTTCATCAGTATCCAGTGTTAATATAAATAGCAGTTGTTACATGTTATGACTAAGAGTCACTGAGTTCTGAAAACAACAGATTACAGTAAAAATTTAAACCTCTAAAATGTAATGTTACACAGTGCTCTGCGTATAAATTTTTCTAGAAAGTGAAAGTACATTTGTGAATTTTTGTAGTAAAATATTGATAATGAATTTACTAAATTATGCTGATTTTTTTTTTTAGTATTCTGTATGTTATATTAGTTTTAATTAGCTTTAAGTAAAAGAGCCATATAAAAATCTGTAATGTTGGGAACATGGCCTCGGAGCTCATAGCTGATAGGACAGATTCCTGTAAGACACTCGAAAGATATTGTGGTTGAAGCCACCCTCCGCCAGCCAGTGTGGTGGTGATTGAGAAGAGAGGGCTCTGGGGCCAGCTAGCCAGGTGCCAGTCTCTGCAGCACTGCTTGGAGCTGTCGTCTGGGCAAGTCTCTGCGCTTCCATCCTCTAATCTGTGAAATGGGATGATGCAGCACCTGACTCCAGAGTTGCTGAGAGGACAAAATGCATTGATCTATGTGAGGCCCTCAGTATAGTCGGACTTGTTATATAAATGCTCAGGGTTACCATTTTGTGTTTTGCTTCTTTAGGCCACATTGTCTTTTTTATTTGCTTATTTTTAAAATTGTTTTAAATAGCTTCTCACTGTGTCCCCACAGTACCTTATGTTAGTAGTATTTCTTAGTAATCTTTTCTACTAAGTAGTAATCTTTTCTACTAAGAAACTCCCATACATAAATGCCCCATCACAATCTCAGAATGGCTAAAATCTCTCATGTTTTGTTGCTGGGTTTTGGTTTCATGTTTTTAAATCTTAAAAATTAATGCAAATGTTGGAGTGCTAAAGTCATGTTTAGTGATTTACTGAATGCCAGATTGGCATTGTGGGAAAACTGCCCCATCTCTCCTGCGACCCCACACGACCCCCTGGAACCCACATTCCAGTGGGAGAAGCACTGCTTCCCATGTGGCAAACACCATCACTCCGACCGTGTGTCAGTCCAGGTGTGGTTCTTCCTCAAAAGGAGCAAATGTCACCGTCACTTAACATTAGTACAAATAGGCAGTCTTACTACAAAATGAAAACAGCTTTGTAGAAAATTTCTTACCCAGTGATTTAGTTTCAGAATGAGATGTGCTGTGTGACATCATGAAGGAATAGGCCAGTGGTTGGCAAACTCATTAGTCAACAGAGCCAAATTTCAACAGTACAATGATTGAAATTTCTTTGAGAGCCAAAGACTGACTTTTGCGATGGGCCACGAAGTTTCGATCGCACTGTATGTGTGCGCCTGCACGTTGTATTTTGTGAAAGAGCCACATTAAAGGGCCAAAGAGCTACATGCGGCTCGTGAGCCACAGTTTGCTGACCACTGGTATAAGCTATGAAATAGAAGAATTTTGCATAATGATTTGTTACAGAGAAAAACAGACTTAAGCAAAAGTTTTAAAACATCATATTTTAGGGTCTAGCTGTTTTTCCAGAATGTTCTCATTGTTTCTGCAAGTCATTAGTAGCAATCCCAAGTAAACACAAATGTTGGCATTGTACTGCTGATGTTTTATTAGAACCAGATTTCTCACACCAGCACCAAGCCATATCTTGTATATATTTCCAGGATCATAGTGGGGGCAATGGATCACTTTTGAGTGGATCACTTACTTCATGCACATTATCACTCAGGGAGAAAGTGAGTAGTTTCACATCAGTCCACAGTTACTGTTTCATTACAGTCACCTACCTTCAGTGGGATTTTTATTTATTTATTTATTTATTTACTTATTTATTTGTGGGGGGCGGAATTGTGACTCACCTTTTTCAGGGTTCTCAGAGAAATGTATGTGTCATATCTCACAAACACTTGCATACCATTTTGGGGTTCAAATTCTAGAACTAGATTTTCCTTTTTTAAATTTGACTTCCCATTTAAAGTCATCTTCCTGGGCCTGCACTAAGCAGTACATCTGACCCAAACCCATTGATTTTCTTCTGAACTGATACTGGCTGGAGGGTCTGCCAGCCACAGCTGTTGGCCACTGTCTCATGATGCACCAGCCATGTGATAGCTAGCACGACTCAGTTCCATGTGTCTGTGTGGTGAAAGCTCATAGTCCAGCCTTATATCTTGCTTCAGGCTTTAGGATTTTTATTCCAAATGAGAAGAAGCACTGGCCCTAATGTCCACCGATTAGCAGTTCCTTCAGGGAGATTTCTCTGCATGGCATTTTTACCTAGTGTGTGTGTGTTCTCTCTCTCTCTCTCTCTCTCTCTCTCTCTCTCTCTCTCTCTCTCTCTTTTTCTCTCTCTCTCCTATAAACTAGAAAAAGAATTTCCTGTGTTCTTTCCTCCCAACATATTTATTTGGTCAAAGGCCTTTTAGTGGCCACTTGCTAGTTCAGATTACTTTCTGTCTTTAACTTGCTTTACCACATTCTCTTAAACAACCTTTCCTGGCAAATCTCCCAGTCTTGTTCTTCAAAATCTTGTAACAATTATTTGCCATTTGCTGTTCCATCTGAATGTTAGGATTACTTTGTCATGTATCACAGAAACCTTACTGAAATTTTTGTTAACTACACTGAATTATCCCATTTTTGGGTATTCTTTGCTTTCTTTTAATGAATTTGTATAATTATTTTCCCCCAGGGGGAAAATACCCAAAACAAATAGCAGTCTTTCTGGGCCTCTGCTCGTCCTCCTGGTGGTAACGGGCCTGGGTTTTATGTGTGTTTTTTTATTTTTATTTTTTTATGGTTTTTATAATGTATTTACATTGTATCCTTCTTAAGATGTTCAGTATACAGTGAGGCGTTAAACAGATGATAGCATGTGTATATCCAGAACCCTCAAGCAGGTCCTGAATAACTGTTTTGTTCAGTGCGGATAGTCTTGTCAAGATGCCACAGGAATTTAACTCTTGTTCATATCACTTGGCCTATGGTAAGATTGGTTTCCTTACATGTCATTTTGCTTAAAGTCACAGAACCCATCCACAGCTTTGAGGACTGATTACTGTACCTTGTGTTAACATGAAGCACCTGCTGATGAAACTTCATACTGTAGCTTAACGGTTGAGGAATGTTGACACCCAAAGCTAAATTTAGAAACGTGGTTCAGCCAGATTCTGGGAAAGGCGAGTGTGCATTGACAGCCCTAAGTGGTAACATTTCTGTCAATTTGTGAAAAGGAAACTAGGGGAGAAGACGGGGTTAACGACAGAAGACAGTTTAATGGCATTTACAACTGCTTCAGAGTTTTAAACCCATAAAAATACTCCTACCACATTAGGTCATTCCAGAATGCAGCTCCAAGTTGGGTGTTTTGCCTGGAAATGTAATGGTCAGTTTTGTGGTAGAAATTAGTGGAAAAGTAGGATTTGGCTGAAACCCAGCTCTGAAGTAATGTATTTGTGTGAAAATGAAACATGTTTTTATCAGATTTGACTTGCCTTAACCATAGATGAATGCTAGTCCAGATATTTTTCATTCACATCAGTGAAAAAGAAATGAGATCCTGGGAATGAACTGCTCATTTCATTGATAATCCCATCTAATGGACCAGGCCCTGCCCTGTGGGATGCCAGCTTGTCTGGATGTGAAAGGCTCTCAGGGACATGCACATTTTCCTGTACTGCTGAGCTTGAGCATGGTGCTCTAAATGAATGCCAGTGACCAGGGTTTAAAGGAAAGAGGCATATCTATAAAGTTATAAAGTCAATGTTTTTCATTGACCTCATAATTGAAGTGATTTGTCCCACTTGTGTTTCCTCTTTGGTATTGATCAGTTTGAGAGGTGCAGGGGAAGGCTTGTAGATAGAGAGACTCATTTATCCATTGACTGTGTGAATGTCACTTCAAGGCTACATCCATTGCAGCAGTGTCCCCGAGTCCTGCCTCACGCTTCAGGCAGTTGATTAGGCAGTCAAGTAGGCAGTCAAGTTGGCTGTTCTCCTTGAACAGGCAGCTTCTCCTACCAGGCTGTGATGGCAGAAGATTGGAGTAGGCGTACTCACAACTTGCTGAAAACAGGGCCACCAAGAGGCAGAGGAAGATGTGTAGCGGTTGTGGCTGAATACAGGCAGTCACTCCTCCCATTTTTTGTATTCTCCTTGTGACAGAGCAGCACAGGTGGTAAATTGCCAGGGATAGCCTTTTCCTGATACTCACATAGACAAGGCCTTAGGAATGAGCATCCAGGTGGAAGAAAGACCTTTGGGCACTGATTCAGCATCTGAATCTACACAAGATGTGTGTGTAGATTGTGGGCTTGAGCAGCACTGGGAGGAACAATATGCATTGCATTTCTGTGACTGCTTCTCCTCTGGTGGCAGTTTTTGTAAGGTTGTTTTCCACATTATCTTCCCAAGTAGCGGAGTGCGGGGTTGGGGGGGTGGGGGGGAGAAGGGGGTATCTCTGTAGTCAGCTGAGATTCCACCTAGAAACCAGTCTCCTTCCCAGATAAACCCACCCACCACTTCCTTCTGATTTAGGATTTACTATCTTTCTGTTTTTAACCTATTGTATCTTGATTGTTTATTCAACTCATGTTTATTGTCTCTTAAGTGCAAGTTACCACACCTGGGCACAGGAACTAGTATTGCTGGAGAAGCAAGATTTTTTAAAAACTTTTTACTTTGAAATACCTTTTCAGACTTCCAAAAACGTTGCAAACTTAGTACCAAGTTGAAGGCCTGGCTTTGGATACTGATTCCTAGACATCATTCTCCTGGTCTCCTTCCCACTTCAGTTTTCCCCTCGAGGTG